CTGCACAGGCCTGCAGACGGTGCATGTGCACAGAGAGAGAAAGAGTCATTTCATTTCCATGTTTCAGGAGCCCCTCAACGTGTAGGCCAGCAGCAGGACTATATTTAACAGATGACAAAAGTTGCATTCCAGACGTACAGTACGATCTTTGTGTTGATCTTTGTGTATGGAAATAAATGGTGAAAAGGAGAGAGGTGAGGGGTGGGGTTAACAACACACAGCTGCTAAGCCAATGCAGCTCCACGAGACGCAGAATTTACAACAGCATTTATCGGAGTTCCCCATTTATCAGTTACAGGACAGGATTGCGTTTGCAGCTTTAAAAACAAACGCGACAGAAATAAATCAAGAAAAAGTCACAACCATGGCATCCGATAAAATTGGAAAAAAATTGACTATTTCTATTTATTTGCAATACGATTACGAAATTCTTAACAGTCCACATCCGAACAAGAAACCTTCATTAACTATTGAACTAGTGCAGAACATTGTGTAGACACAACGCTGCCTTAAAAAAAAACACCAGCGTGGCACAGGGAGAAAAGAGAGAAACAATCAGGGGAGAAAAAGAAAATTAAAAAAACCCCACCAGGTTATTTTCACACACGATCATAGAGAGCAGCCTGCCAAAATCATCAACGTAAGACAATTGAGCACAGCAAGTAGAAAAAAAAAACATCTCAGTAAATATTTACAGCACAAATCTTTTCCATTCATTTACCAAGCACTAACAAAACCGTACTGTACTCTTTCACGGCCCACCCCCTCCGACCCCCCCACCCACATCTGCGATTCATTGACTTTACAATTTACCACATGTCGAGATGGGAGAGGTCGGGACTCTATCTGAATCACGACACAAATATGCGAGTGATTTATTGTTTTAAAACCAAGGGCCGTTTTAGTGCAACTCCACTCTTCCTGAGCATTACTCCTATTGGCAGACCATGAACAATTACAGTTTGGACTAATTAAGCCCTGAGAATGCGCTGTGAGCCGCTAATGTCTCACAGGCCCCGCTTTCAGTTTAATGGTGCCAAACTTTGCTCCCCAACTTAACTCGCACAAATCCAAAACAGATTGCACTTTTTTATGGGTGTTTATCAAGCCCCAGCAAACAGAAACCGTTTGCGGTTTGTTTTTTGCGCGCGTGTAGGATGGGAGTAGGAGAAAAAAAGACGAGGAGGAGAAGGAAAGAGTGGCGGAGGGAGAGAAAAAGAGAGTCTTGCTTCCGCCATTCTTTGTAAACAAAAGTGATTTGCAAAACAAAAGGATGGCAACCTTCTAAATAAACTGGGAGTGTATTTTGTGCAGAGCGGCACAAAGCGCGAGCGCGTAGCTCGGTGAACCCCCTGCGGATAGCAATTAGGGGCCATTAACATGTAAAGCCAATTTGATAAGGTATGAGTCTATCCCTGTAAATCCGCATTAAACTATCTTCTGCACCTCACACGACAGGCTATTCAACACACACAATCCATACGATAAAGCATTGTTATTGACGTCTTAGCCTAAAAAGATTCTGCCATGGTTTATTAAAATATGTACATGTAGGGCTGCGTTAGTGTTGAATGCATCTTTGGCAAAAAATATTAATTACACAAAATCAGTCAATTTAAAATAAAAAAAAAATGGGGAAAAAATATTTCAGGTCTCCGCCATGCATCTCCTTTTCTTTGCTCTAAATAGTGCAGAGTGCATTTGGGTGTTGCAAGTTTGTCTGTTTTTATATTATGTTCCTTTTTTAAACTACGCATAATTATACGTTGAAACCTGAAACCTCCGCCAAAAGTCTGCTGGCCTAAGGAATTATGGGGCCAGGGGTGGCGTCAAATATCTTAACATTCATAAGTCAGAGAGGCAGTAAATAAACCCAGCGGATTTACGGGCATAAAGCCCCCTTCCAGAACTCAGCCGGCCAGACCTCTGCTCTACCTTGCTTTCCCCTCTCCACAGACCTGTTGAGGTGCGATTTTAGCCTACAACCACCCAGTTAACCCAGCACCTTTCCAACCACAACACACACGTAGAGTGTGTCCGCCACGCAAACTGCTCTCGATGAAAGAGGGGGAAGAGTGGCTATTGTCTGCAGTTTTTAGTGAGGGGAAAAAAAAGTGGATCCAGGCATTGTCGGTAGAACGTCACGGCAAATTGCTAATTGCTACCAAATCATCGTGAAGCTTTTCCGACTGAGGTGGTTGGAAATACAAACTCCCGTTATTACAGATCTCAGAGGTCAGACGAATTAAACTAGCTCTCTCCCTTCAGTCAAACACACACTAGGGGAAAGCATTTCATCACTATTGCAAGAGCGGACCATCAGGGAAATTCAGCTGACACATGGTCTGTGTAAATTAAATAATTTTTTTTTTTAATTGTCACATCTCTGATATCAACCTTTAGAGAAGCATCCACCATAACCTAAATCCTTACAGATTAAATAATGCGGCAGTAGCAAATTTATCCTGAAAACAAAATACTGGATCAATAAATCCATAAATGTTTCATAAATACTTACAAATAAACACATAAATGCAATAAAACTTGAATATATCCTCTGCTTGTTTAATACAATGTAGATTAATCCAATTAATAAAAATACAAGTTAAAATACAATTTTTAAAAAATGCCAAGAAATGCTAAAAAGCACATCATCGGCAGCTAAACCCAACAAGCCCCATGCATTCGTTAAACGGAGCGACAGCTAATCGATGCTCAGGTGAATTATTTATCCTTTACTTAAGTAATGCGTTTATGAATACAACGGCTTTCAACTTCAAAGCGGTGTGGGTCGGACGCCCAGGCAGCTCATAGGTAGCAGACCTCATGGCAAAGAATCGGGGTGAAGGGCTACAGCACGATGTCAAAGACTGAGATCTGTAGGCCTGGTTACAGTAAGAGATCAAACATTACAACACACAACTATAAAGAAATTGACTATATCTATGGGTATAATATTTAGGCTAGAGGGTCAGAACAGACCTGGACTGACTCCCACATATAGGGGAGGATATCAACAGTGATCCTACTTCCGTGAGAGATCGCTAAATATATTCTCGGTAGCCAAAAATGAATAAGCCAGCGATTTAGACAGGGCTCCATCCCAGCATGGAGAGGAACTATCAGACTATGAACTCTGGTAACAGCATCTCTGGGATTCTTCACAACCTGCTATACAGAAGACACGCTATATGTCAAATATTTCCTTCTAATGCACATCTGCAGTAGCCATACTGATGCTTTCAGAATTTTCTGTCCTTTTTATTTATGTGTGAATGTTTCTAATGTGCATTTACATCAGTAAAGAAATTATCAGCAAATGAAGAACAGATTCAGCAAAAAGGCATGTTTTGGGATAAACGCAATATCCACGACAAACACAAACAGCCAGAGATGTTTCTACAAAAATGTCTCACTGATACTAGAAACAGCAGAATGCCTTTAAAATACCCGAAGTTAAATGCACAGTTTCAGAGCAGTAGATTTCGAAGGTCGTCATTTACTTAATTTCAGGTTACACCACATGTCATTGTCATAAAGCGTACCTTCACGTTTAAGATTAAGCCTAGAGCTGATTATGAAAATCAGAAATGACAGCAAGATCCTACTGCACAATTTTCCTATCCTTATTATGTTATATCTGCAGCAATGACATCTAAAAAATGATAAAATATAAATTGTGAATAAAAATATTAACCTACTAAATCAACATTAATTCTTTCGGGTGCCAACAAAAAAAAAAAAACAAGTGCTGGACAAATATGCATAACTATGCATAGCTGATATAAACAACATAATTTGTATTTGCACTGAAATATTAAGCATATATTCTCATTACACGTTATTCAACATTATGCATGCTCTAAATAGGAAGTCCATCATGCCATGACAAAATGTTAATGTAAGCATAAAACATATTATATTTAATGTGCATTTAAAGCAAATGTTTATTTAATTTCAAAAGAATTCTGACACTAATATTTTACTACACACTGTGTCAAGGGTGGAATGAGCAATATTGTGCTTTCATTCTGACGATCACAAATTCATTGACTGCCTTTCACTAATTACTATAAACATTTCCCATGATGCTCTTTGGCAATAACATTTATGTGCATTGCATTCTTTAAATAACACAAGCAGTATTATGTTAAGCTCGGATAAATTAGTCATAAATTAGCTCAGATAAATGAATAACGTCTCATTTTAAGTGGCACACTGTAAAAATGTTTTCATCATCATGTCATAACAGCATCTTTGTTTCCATCCATTTAAACGGTCAAAATAATTTCTGTCATTTCTACTCGATTTTCTTCAGCAGTAATTAAATTCAAAGTGGCAGAAAAAGCGCAGACTGTAGCCTAAGTATAGCAGCACGTTGATTTCATTGTTTAAATATTAAGGCTGCAGTTAAACTTAACATTTTACTTTTTTAGGGTTAAATGCTTTAGAATAACAGAAACGCTTTATTTTTTTCTCGTGTAAAAATCATAACAACGATAATAACGATAGTAATAACAATACTATCATTATGAATTCAAACATTCTTGTACATTTCAGTTTTAGAAATTCCGGAACACCCGCTACTGTACATTAAACGTCTAGTCAGAAGCAAGCGAGCGAATCCACTAGTTATTCAAGTACACAGACGATTAAAATAAATAACACTGTAAAAATGCAGAATCTAAGGCAAAGGTAACCTGCCAAGTATGCAAAAATAGCCGTGGGAAATGAGAAGAAAAAAATAACAACGGAGTTAAAAGTTGCAGTGGCCGTGTGTTTGTGAACGTCAGGAAAGCACATTATGCGTTGCACTGTACTCGCCGCTCGCAGGCAGCGTTCGTTCAGAGCGACAGCGGATCCGCGGGAACGGCATGCCACTGTACAGTGCTGAGTGAAGTGTGGCAGAAGTTCACGAGCCGACCAAAGCAGTCCCTAAACATGGACGTGGTGCTTTAGCTGCGTGCATGTGGCTGCAGAAACACGTTAAAAACACTTACTGTGCGCGCGGTGGGTGAGAGAGATCCGTTCGGGAGGTACGGGCTCGTGAGGTCGGGAATCATTATAAATGGATAGCCCGGGTACGGTGGGCTCTTGAACAGCCCTCCATCTTGCCTTTTCGCAGCTAACATGGCGGGGGGGAAAAAAGGAAAACTTTTAGTTTAAGTTACATTCCCAACAAAAAAATACTTTGTACGTATGTGCAGAAGCAAACGGAACCGAGGCACCGTGTTGTTGTCCTCTGCAAAAAGATGATTTAGAGAAAACAAGCACTCACCCTCCTCTAAACTTTCTCTTGTTTTGTCTCTGAAACTTTCAGATCTAGGCGGAGGCCGTCTTTCCGCCTTGAAATGCAACGAAACACAGGGAATGCATTGAATAATCACAGCGAGGAGATCGTTAGCTAGTTAGCAGCGTGTTTAAACAAGAAAAGTGCATGTAAAGTTGTGGACAAGTCGCGGATTCGCGGTTATTTGTCACTTACCTCGGAATCCGAAGAGCTGTTTTGATTCGTTTCCGACTCGTTTACGAGAGAAGATTTGACATCTGCTAAATCCCTTTCTGCTGAGGAGTTCTCCGAAATCTTTTCCTCCTGCTCGCCTTCGTCTTTGAAGGAAATCATTTCATCGTTCGCACCCAGATCGTCCCCTCCACCGCCGTTCAGCTGCGGCATTTTTCCCGAGGAGCGCTAATTTTGCGGGGGGCCAAAAACACCCAAAAGTTTTTAAACCCTTGATCTTGGTGTGATCCCCGAATCCCGAGTTTTAAGTTTAGGGACTCGCAGTGGCGTTTGGCTGGGTGAGTGTTCAAAACTCAAAAAGAAGAGGGCAATCTTGGCAGAAACAGAAGCCGGAGACGGAGCTGAGGCGCTCGGATTGAGGGAGTTGAAGTTGGTCGGAGTGGTTTTCAGTTCAAAGGCGGCGCTGATTGACAGATAGAGAGGGATGGAAATAGAGAGAGTCTGGATTCGGGATTATTGACAGGGAGAAACACACAAGAAAAAAAACTAATGAGATTCAAACAGGGAGGGACTTGAAGTGACGTTTTCATAAATAGAGAGGGGCAGGAAAAAGTACTGGAGGGGGAAAAGGGCTTGAGCGAGAAACAGAGAGAGGGAGAGGAAAAGAGCTTTTGGAGAAGAGCAGGACAGTTAAAGCGAGTCGACCTTGTTTGCTTTTGTACAGGAATGAATGGAAAAATAGGCGGAAGACACTTGTGCGGTAGTCTGCATGTTTCTGAGCGGCGAAACGGCACACAGCTAGAATCATATCGGCTTCCTTATTTTCTGCAGTTGTTTTAGGAGGTGTCGGTGGGCTGAAATAACCCCACTCGCTCCAAACACGGACTCGAATGACAATACACTCTGAACTGCTCTAAATCAATCCTATTTTTGAAAACATCACTTCAAAACGATTTTACTTAAAAAGGCTTAACTTGCAAGGCATTTATATGACCATTTATATTGTTTATGTCCTTGTATTGGTGATTTAAAATGTGTCTGGTATTATCCTACGTAGCCTAGCCTATATAATCTTATATAGCCTACTGAAATGTTTTTTTATTATTATTATATTAACATCTTTGTCGTCAAAAAAACGTAACTTCTCACTGCAGCTTGTCACTTTGATTTTACATAAAAAAATAAACCGTTTTTTTTTTTTTGTGCGTTAAAATTTCTATCTATATAAGGTCATATATAGGATAGTTCCATGCATACAAATTTTCCTATAGGAAACTTACATTTACTTACATGTAAATATAAACACTTACATGCATATATTTTCCTATATATAGATAAAACACACAAAAAGTTTGTTTTATGTAAAATAAGTGATTAAATTATATGAACATATACACACACGCACACAATGCAATGTATTTCTAAGTACATTACATTAAAATATATACACTGATACAATGAATAAAGGTCTTGTATTATCATATATA